CGAGCGGCTCGGCCGGAGCCCGCCGGGAGGTGGCTGAGGTACCGGGCAGCCCGCACCGCGGCCTCGGGGCGGCCCTGGGCCGGTGTGTGCCGGGAGGGCTGGGAGCCGGAGGCTGAGCTGCCTTTACCTGCCAGGCAACCGCACGCGTGTGGATAAGGAGGGGTGGTTGGAATCCGGTGTGGTCTGTGTAAAGGAGAGAGGAGGCAGTGGTCGTGGTGCTCTCCTTGGCTGTGAGGCATTGATGTGGACACAGTGGTCTCACATTGCTGGGTCAGGTCCAGTATTAAAGTCCTCAAATTCTGTAATTTTTAGCAGTGGTCACCTGTGCTGTAACTGCCCCTGGACGAAAAGAATTCTTCCCATAGTACTTCCAAAACAACTCCCTGAAGTTATATAGTATCCTGCCTGCCACTCCTCTGGTAATTTTGTAGAGATTTGTGAGGTAAAACACTTTCAGAATGAAGTGTGGATGTTGACAGAAAGCTCTCTACTTTTCCAGGGTGGTGAGTACAAGATAGCATCACTGTTACGTACTTACACTGGTGGTTACAGTAAATTTTCAGAGTAATATCTGTACTATTCCTGGTGAAGTAGTGAGAAAAAATCTAACATCAAGGGCTCACTTCTGTTTATGCAAGTTTTGTCCTCAAATTAATGGTTACAGCTTTATTTCAACTGCAAATTTTGTACCCTGGTATAAATGTCAGTAGTTGGACCCATCTAGCTGATTGGTCTCCAAGCCAGAGATCAGCTTATTCAAACTGGAGAACTGTGCTTTGGGTTAGAAACCACAGTTGCAACTTTACAGCTTCCTTTTATATGTGCATGGTTGTCTTTGTAATCATGCTGCAGGTTTTAAGAACAGTAACCAAAGCCTTGAGTTCACATCCATGCTTACCAGCAGCTTAATAAAAACTTAGGCCTAAATCTTTGCAAATCACAGAGATTGGATCTGTAACATCTTTACTCATTTCTTTCATGGTTGCATCTTTAGGTATAGGCTATGTATTTGAAATCTGTAGCATTTCAGAGGAGGTCTAACCATTGCAGAAAGCCAAGCAGCTTGCAGCATGGCCCCATGTATAAAGCCCTGCTAATTCTTTGCCCAGTGGATAATGCACTATTCAGGACCTCGATAGTCCCAAATTTTGTTCCTGTTTCTGCTGCTGTCCTGCTGGGATGAGTTTGGGCAAGTTACTTTGTCATGATTTCACTACCTGCAAAACAGCCATTCATCACCAGCTTCATTTGTAAAGTGCTTTAAGGCCTGCTAACAAAGACAGGTCTGTATAACATTCATGTGTGCTTGTCCTTGGGGCAAAGAGTGCAGGATAAAAACTGGTGAATTTAGTCGGCCTCTCATAACATACCCAGGTTCTGGATCCTGCAGGCATTGATGCATGCAGGTAGTCTGCTTCATTCTGATGGGCCTACGTATTTACTCTGAAACCTCTCCAGAAACAGGGTAAAGTTAATTTATACTGTGTGTGCTGAAGACTTGTGATAATTTTTACTCCTCTTGTTTTCCCCATGGGCGCAAGAGACTGCTTCGCTGTTCTTGGTATGTGAGAGAGAGTCCTGATCACAAGACTGGCTCTTACAGACACCAGTTCAAGGTGTTGTCATTCCTGCCTTTCCCTCTCCCCACTCAGTTTTGGGTCTTGTACTTCTCTGAGTGGGCTAGGATGAATGTTGTGGTGCTCACAGGCATGCGTTCTCCAGGAGATGACAGAATTCAGAAGTTAGTGTCAGAGCAGGGAAATTCAGTACACCTGGGAATTGTGTGCAGCTCAGCCAGGATGCTGTGCATTTACAGTAAAAGCACTTAAGCACATTTTGGCTCTACTACTTTTTGTCTTGGCATTCTTAATGTTGCTGTATCTGGGCACTTAGTGGAAATATTTCTCCTTCAGATGCGTTTTCCAGAAGCTTTTTACACTCTTAGCGGGGGTTTATTAGACTTTGCACGAAATTCTCATTAGTATTGTGTCCTCTTCTGTGTTTCTTTGACTTAGGAAAGAATATTGACAAGTGCAGTCCAAGGGTGGGGGTGGGAATGTGTGGCAGTAAGTCGGGTGGTGTGGTCTGCTTCTCCTTCCCAGTGTTGTGTTCAGTACCTGCATAAAAATGCATCACGCATCCAAGAGTTGTACATACATATTTGGCACACAAGGTCTTGAGAGCCTTGGTGCTTAACGATGGCAAACATTGAGCCCTGCAGGAAAGCAGAGGTCCCTTGGGATTCTGAGAAACCCGTGCAAACCCTAAGGTGCTGTTCGTGTATAACAACTTGTAGAAATTGGAGCCTGCTTTTGTTTAAACATAGGCACAGAGTTTATTATCTCTCCGAGCTGTAATGGTGGAATGTAAATATTTGAATTGATTTGTGAGTCGTGCTGGATGTTATGTATTAGATGGGCTGGAAGTAAAATGAATAGAAACTCAGTCATAATGTGGTAGAAATTAATGTAAAATTGTCTTTGTAGTTCATTGATTATTGCCTAAAGTTAAATAACAAACAAAAATTATTCAATATTTAAAATTACTCCTTTTCTTCAGCTGGTGTGTTTTTTAAAGATGGAACCTTCTCCTTGGGTTTTAATTATCTTGGAACTTTCTGTTCCAAGCTCGTTTCATTATTGGCATTTCTTTCAGTACGTAAGGTATATTTGAGTTCCTTAAATAATCTAACAGGACATCTGGTCTTTCTTAAGGTGTTCTGTTTTTAATGAACCTAGTTTGCTTCCATATGGGATGGGATACTGGGAGCGTCAATAATTTCAGCTCTTTTGCTTTTTGTTCTGTTGTGTTTTGTTTGGGTTTGTTTTTTTTTTAGAAATTACTACAAGAGGTCAAAATGGCTTAACACATAATGTTAGATTTTAATGTTACTGAAGTGTCACATTTTGTTTTAATGCATCATGACTGTTGGGAGATTCAATGCTTCACCACCTGGGAGCATGAGAATGTGTTCAGTCACCTCGAAGCAGGAACCTTGTGCCTTTTGGCTCCTTTCAACAGGATCTAACAACATAATCAGATAAAGACATGGACCCAGGGAAGGAAGCAGTTGCTATCAAATAATGGCTCCTTCTTCAGGGATTGTTTTTGAGAAAATGAAGTGAGAAAAAAATCCATTATCTGTGATCAGTTTAGAAAACCACAAGTAGAAAGGTCTTATAGCTTTAACCTGTGAGTGTTATCCACCACTGGAAATAGTATTCCCTTGATAATGGTGCCCTGTAGGAGAGAGCACCTTTGTCATGACTTTGTCTTGCTAGATTTCTGTCCTGTAATCACTTAATCTGTTCTCAATCTTTTTTTTTTTTTTTTATCATTTTACATCTCTAGATTCATGAAACTGGAAACACATGTAAGTCTTGGTATGCTTGGTCAAAAAATCTAATGATTCTTGAACTTGTTCTGTATTTTAAGAGACATAGAAGTGTAGAGAGTAAACTTACAAAAACAGAAATGCCTTCTGGATTGTGAAAGAGTTAATATACATTCATAACCAGGTGGCTTTATTTAACCACTTTATAGAACTTTATTGAACCACTGGTTCTTTTTTTTTTTTTTTTTTAATCAAGGCAGTCTCATTGAATCATGACAAGCCTTGTTTTTCTTGATAGCCAAGAAAAGCACATGCAGCTCTGGAGCAGGGCACTGGGAAGATGTTCCTTTCCAAGCTTTGTCATTCTAGTGCCTCTTACTGCTAACCTTGAAATTTTGAACTTGCCATTGACTCCACCTGAGTTTCACCTATTTCTGTACTATGAATATAAGTAACAAAACTGACTTGAAACTTCATGTGGTGTTTGTGCTAAATAGCAACTGAATTTATTTGATCATGGGATAATATCCAAAACCATTGGAAATGAAATCCAGACTGATCTGTAAATAATATTTCATCTAAATTGACTTGTGAGTATTCTGCTGTGCCAGTGTTTTACATGGCATTTTGCAGTTGCTGTTTGTATGTTGATTAATGCAGAATGTCTGTTAAGTGGGTGTAACAGGTTGAGGCTGGGTGTAGTTTGACAGATTTCCTGTCTATGGAAAATGGAAGATTCTTATCTGTTTGATTTAGTAAACTAATGATTTTAGGGAGAAGCACATTGTCTTTAAGTGTTAACTACTGGGTGCACCTGGCTGTTGCTGGTGAAACAGTTCTATTAAATTAGTCCAATTTATTAGGAATTATCCATCAGCTGGAAGCTATTTACTTGGGTCTTATAGGAGATAAATTTAGCAGGCCTCATGTTCACAAGGCATTGTGCTTTAAGTTTATTGGCAAATTCTGTGGAAAAGCCCAAGTTTACTAGGCAGATCATCGTGTATGATTAGTTACCTGTGGAATAAGATCCTTTCCTAGATCACAGTTAAGCAACACAGGAAACTTGCTTTGTTATTGAGGACTTCACTTATCACCCCCGCCTTTCCTGAGTGCAAAGTCCATACCCTCATTAAACTTTCCATGTAAAATAATGCCCTGTGACCTGATGACTTCCACTGAGGTCTGAGTTTTTGGGATTACGATAACTTACTAAAATATCTGCTCAGTGCTCAGCAGATCGAACCCCAGATTTCTGCTAGGAAAAGAACTGATATAAAACATCCTACTATATAAATACATGGATCATTTGAACACTGTCTTCAATGCCAGTTCCCCTCCACGTCATAAAATACAAGAGAACTGAGAGAGATTGGTAGAAGAGTGACCAGAATTATCAAAAGTGTGAGACAGCTTTTTTGTACAAGGAATGACTGAGGAGAGTTGGATTCTTTGGGCTGGGAGTGGGAGAAGATGTGATGAATGCATATAGAGTTGTGAGCAGGAGAAAAGGGGTAAGAGAAGTGATTTTTGTCCACTGTTCTGTTCAAGAACCAAGGGCTGTTGAAGTAACAGGTGGCAGGTGCAGGATATATAAAGTTGGTGGCTCTTACAGAGTCCATGACTGAGCTGTGGATCACTTTGTGTTAGGGGCTATCAGTGTTAATTACAGATCTGAGAAACAGCTGATTGAATTTCTAGAAGAAAAGTCTGCTGAGGGCCTCTGATTTAAGAAGTCAGTTGGAAATTTTTAGAGCTGGACGATTATCCTAGGAAGAAGCTTCAACTAATCCTTAGTGGTAGCTCTTTGAGAATCACTGAAATGCAGTAAGGTTGCTTTTCTTCCCTCTTCCTTCTCATGCAGAGGTTGAAGAATTGTGATCATACAGGAGGCTGTATATAATTCAGTGTTCAGAGGAGAATAGACTGAGAGAGAGTGTTGTCTTGGTTCCAAAGCTGTTCCCCAACTATGTTAGTCATTTGTTACAGGGTTTACATTTTCATCAAACTTACTTTTCTTCTGAAAGATGTAGCATATGGAGAACTGGAAGATTTAAGGATAATATTAGAGTTTCATAACAATAGAATTTAAATTTGAGACAATTAATTGTGTGATGCGATCTGAGATTGGGAAGGATTTAAGGAAACAAAAACAGAAACCAAACCAAAAGTTGCTTCAGATCATCAGCTAATGAACTGTATAAATCTGGAAGAAGTTCCATACCCAAACGCAGTTTTGCCTCATTGGCTCTTGCTTTGTGGTATGATTTTGCTTTGAGGCATTTAGCATATCCTGCTGGTTGTCCTCCTTGGTTATCACTGGTTTGTTATGGCATGGTAACTTCCATGTACACTTTTAATAGGCTGTCATTTCTGTCATCAAGTTGCTTTCAACTCTTTTAGTCAGCTGTAATTCTTACAACTGTGGCCAGCCAGAAAAGTTATGGTTCTTGTGGTGTTACTGCATTCTCTTGACTGTCAAACATTCAGTATGTTCTCTAATTCCAGGAAAGCCAATATTTTCAGTGGACATTCACCCAGATGGGACCAAGTTTGCAACAGGAGGACAAGGTATGTCTGCATGCTGAGAGAAGGCAGACTTTTGGGTTTTCATGATAATAGTCTTGTGTCTTCTTAACACTTTGATTGGTTTGATCCTTTTAAAAACACATCACTTAAATAATTATCTGTATCTTAGTGATATAAGTCATTAAAATGGATTGAAAAGTGCTGTGACAGAAGGCAGGGGTACATTTTCTGATACACTCACCCTCCTGGACATCATTGAGATAGTAGCTGCAATAATTGAGTTGTGACCATACTAGTCAAAATTCTTTTTTATTTGAAGAAGAATTGTATGTGAAGTTTGGCTTTTTGCCCTGCTGAATAGTAGAGCTATTGGTACAAAAAATCCAATTGTATGCATGGAATAACTCAAGAAATACGTGCAAAAATATTATTTGGATTATAATAATGATTAATTTTATGTTGGCCACAGTAATTGAATATAGGATTTTAATGTTATCTTTTCTCTTTTAAAATATGATTTTATTATAAATAATTCATCCTCCTGGTTGCTATCGTTGTGCACAGTATGATTCTCAAACAAGTCTGTAGAACTTTATTTTTAATAGCTTCAAGAAAAATGAAACACTTTTGACTTGCTGTAATTATATCAGAATGGCATCTATATTTAAATATTTCCAAAGTTCCCTCTACGCTTATGCCTAAATCTTAGCATCTGTTCTGGAACTGCAGTTCAATTGAAAAGCTTTTTTTGTGTCTATTTAAAAGGAGGGGCTTTTTGTTCTCTTACAGGTCAGGATTCTGGAAAAGTTGTGATCTGGAATATGGCTCCTGTCCTGAAAGAGGAAGATGAAAAGAATGAAAATATTCCCAAGATGCTTTGTCAGATGGACAATCACTTAGGTAACAAAGATTTTTTTTCTTTCTTTTACACACTTTGGCAATTTGCCAAAGCACATGTTTGTGATTAGACAAGTCATGGTGTATCCCTTGGTGAATCAATCAATAAAATACAAATAAAGTACAGCAGAGTGATCCTATGCTTTGTTGTATAATTCTTTAGATATTCAGCAGACAATGTTGTTAAAATGTGGGAAAATTTAGATCCCTTTGGAAATCCCTGCATGAACCTTTTCCAGCTGTCGTCATGAAGTAACTGATAATGCACATTCTGAGAAACTGGGAAGCTCTGAAGGAAAGGAAAAGAGAAGAAAAAAGTATAAAGGAAGCATCATATGAAGTATAATTGTTATAGTTCTAAATCATTCTGGATTTATTGCACATGACATTTGAAAATACGGTTATATGAACAAACTGTACCCTTTCTTTTCTTCAAGATATTTATCTTTCCTTGTTTGTCATCTTCATCTCACCCATTATTAGATTAATATTAAATCTTTCTTCTTCTGAGCTACTTTGGTGAAGCTTTTTGAAAGAAGGAATAGGTTTTTTTGAAGTAAGAAGCTCCTCAACTGCTACTGAAAGATAAGAACCAATTCATTTATCTAAAGCAGACAGAGTAACTGCTCTGAGTAGAAAAAGCACACTTAAATCCTTGACATCTCCTGTCAAGTTTTGCTTGTTATAAACTCTGTCCCTGGTCCAGAACTACTTAATCTCTTATTTCATCTAACAAAATTTCTTTCCTACATTTCAGCTTGTGTGAACTGTGTGCGATGGTCAAACAATGGAGTTTACTTGGCTTCAGGGGGAGATGACAAGTTGATTATGGTGTGGAAACGAGCTGCGTAAGCATGTTTCTTCTCAGTTTTGTTTCATTTCAAGGAGGCTTCTCTGTCACGTCTCAATGTTTCTTCCCTGCACTGGCCTTTTGTAAGCTCACTGCTCTGCCTGGTGCACAAGGAGCTGAAACCTGTGATACCACATCACTGGTGTTGGAGATTTGGGCTGGAGTGTCTCTCTCTCCGTGGGCTCTCCTCTTGAGGAGCTGAGGCATTTCCTTCTGTCCATGAAGAAAGCTTTCTGATAGGAGTTACCTTAAATGTTATCTTTTTTTTTCCTCTCTGTAGAAATTGTGCGTATTATTTAAGCTATTTTTTAATAATTGCAATTATTTTCTAAAAAAAAAAATTTTTTCTACAGTTTTCACTGCAGAAATAACTGACTATAATATAGAAGTGTGCTGTGCAGCTGATTTTCTTCAGACAGAGGGTCTGAAGAACATGAGGTGGTTCTGTTGATAACTGCTTCTGTTTTAATTAGGTACATTGGACCTAGCACTGTGTTTGGTTCTAGTAGCAAACTTACTAATGTTGAGCAGTGGAGATGTGTATCAATCCTCAGAAGCCATTCAGGAGGTAAGTTAAAAGCTGTTGAATGAACATCATTGCAAGTTTGGAAACAAATTGCTTTTCAGTGCTACATTTTCTTGCTCTTACTGTAAAAATTTGGTGACAAGTCAGTAATTACTTTTAAGAGCAGCAATGAAAATCTAAAATAAAATTTCATTTTTAATCAAATGCTTATTTTCATACAACTAATTTCTGGCAACTTTATAGGAAAAACTTATATTTTGCTATTTGCTACCTTAAAAATTAATCTTAGTAAAGGAAGCTAGACTATTTTTGTTGAAATAAAGGTTCACACTTGCTGAGAGTAATCTCCTGGTTGGCAGAAGATAAAATTTTTATAAACCAAAGAATTAATTCTCCAATTACCATCAACATCTGATATGGATACTTTTCTTTGTTTAAACAGATGTCATGGATGTGGCGTGGTCTCCACATGATGCCTGGCTGGCATCTTGTAGTGTTGATAACACTGTTGTCATCTGGAATGCTGTAAAATTTCCAGGTGAGAATTCTCACATTTCAAATGTGCAAGTACCTAAAGCTTTGTGACAAACTCTTCCCTCCATGGATGTATTTCACTGGCTGAAAAATCTCTTCTGTGACAATAGATTGTCTGCCTTTTGAGATGACACACTTGCAATCTGGTGAGTCAATCCTCCTTCCAAGGTTGGATGGCAGTGAGCAGTAGGTCCTGCTCTGCTGTAGGCAACAGCTATAATTCAGGTTGTGCTTTGGATTTTACGCAAAGGTCATTATTACATCTATTTTCTTTTTCACCTTCTTTGCAAGATCCCAAACAAATAGAACTTCAACTTGATATTACATCTACAATGCATATAGTTTTTCCCTGTTGCCTTTGTGCCTGCAGGACTTTCCATTCTTTTGCCTTGGGGAGAGGGAGCATTGTCCCATTTACTCCATTTTAAATCCAGCTGCTTAATAAGCAGTGTGACTTTACATGATGAAGGGGAGGATGGAAGGGCATGGGGAGCCTCACAGTAGCAGAAGTTCTTATTTGGCTGCTTCTCACCATGTAACTTGATGCAGGCTAAAACTCCCATTGTGTGGTGCCCAATCACTGCTATTTATTTCAAGGTTGCTTCCAATCCTGATTCCAGAGTTTTGAGTCTTCCAAGCTGGTTGTGTAGCCTGTGCAACCCTCTAAGCCTCTTCTCTCACAGCCTGATAAGCAAGAGATTGACTGAAATTGGCTGCCAGATCTGTCAGGCTTGTGAGCCTGTTCACTTGCAACTCTGTTTCAGTTCATGTTTGGTGCACAAAGCAGAATTTGTTGTGATGATCTTTGGATACATAGGAAAGGGTGACTGTGTAACTGACGTTAGCTTATAAGTGCTATTCTGAACTGCCTAGGCTCTGCTGGTCTTCCTGCTCTGATCTATTTCTTACCAAGTGTTTTGCACACCTTCTTTTGTCCAGAATTCTCTTTCCCACTTCCTATATAATTCTTAGCTTAAATGCAGCTTCCAGATTGGTTGGCATATTGTTGTTTGTACATTTGAAGGGGTTGAATCTTGAATCTTGAATACGCTGTTTCAGAAATATCTTGTTAACCTCCTTAACAGTTTGTCCTAGAGGAGATAGCAGTAACTCATCTCTCTTCTCAATGTTGTGTGCACAGAAATTCTTGCCACTTTGAAGGGGCATTCTGGCTTGGTAAAAGGGCTGACCTGGGATCCTGTTGGAAAATATATTGCCTCTCAAGCTGATGATCGAAGTTTGAAGGTGTGGCGGACCATGGACTGGCAGCTGGAAACCAGCATCACAAAACCCTTTGATGAGGTACTTCAGAATGTGTGACCATTCAAAGTGAATTCCTACAGAATGACTGAACACTGTAAGGATCACTCTGGTTCTGCACAAACATTAGTGAATTTAACAGTGCTGAATCAAATGAAACTATCAGATGGCAGATTCAAAATGGGAGGGAGGAAAGAGCTACTTTCTCACAACATGTGAATAAATGGAGTGTCATGGGCATTTGGTGTTGTAGGTGCCAAAGGTTGACATGGGTTATGTAAACAATTAAGTTAATTCCTGGGAATGTAGAGGTTATTCCAAGGGAGTATCAGCTCACTAATTACATTGTTCTTATGTTCTTCCCTATGCATCTTCTATTGGCCACTATCAGAAACATCAGTACTTAGGAAGGATCTTTGGTCTGACATTGTAGGGCTGTTATATAATGACTTTGATCAAGAGATCATATTTCTGGGAACAGAAGTGGGTGCTTAGTGAGTGGAGTGTTTTGCAGTGATCTTATGGTATTGTGATTAGTACAATTGCTCTTATTAACAGACTGTGAACGCCTATCATACAATCACAGAATGGTTTGAGTTGGAAGGGACCTTAAAGATCATCTAGTTCCAACCCCCTGCATGGGCAGGGATACCTCCCACTAGACCAGGTTGCTCCAAGCCCCATTCAGCCTGGCCTTGAACATTTCCACTGCTGAGAATTTAAAGTAATGTCATTCTTCCATACTCACAAAAGACTTATTTTGTAATTATATTCCCTGAATCTAAAATTTAAAGTTTGTAGTAAAAACCCTGTGTGTGCCAAAGACTTTTAAAGCTCTAGCATGTTGAGGTTGTTGGTTTTTTTTTAATTCTTTTTATCAGTGTGGAGGGACAACTCATGTGTTGCGTCTTAGCTGGTCACCTGATGGTCACTATCTTGTTTCTGCTCATGCCATGAATAATTCTGGACCTACTGCTCAGATCATTGAGAGAGATGGATGGAAAACCAACATGGATTTTGTAGGGCATCGGAAGGCAGTTACAGTAGTGGTGAGTGAGTGATAGTAATTTATCCCAGGAGGAAAACTTCTAAGATGTGCTTTTTGATAATTTTATGCATAAACGGGACAAGAGGTGGAGATAGTTGGTCAAGATTAGTAAAGCAAATGCATGGTGGTGATTAAAATAAAGGTCAGCTTTACCTGTTGGAAGCAATCGGCTTGCTCTTGTGATAAGAGAACTGGACATAGATGATCAAGATAAGAAGGGGGAGAATAGGAGGATCTTAGGAATGCCAAACACCAACTTCGTTAGCTGTTCAGTGACTTTATTAAAGTCTCAGGTTTCTAGTGGGCTATTGATTGCTAGTAAAATTAATATTATTTTCCATTCCTGGTAAGGCATTCAGGAAGCCTCTTAAGAAGCCTGTGCTGCTTTTGTCAGTCTGGTGGGGGACTGTTTCTATGATATGTTTCTTTTTCACTATTAAGTGGAAAACTTGCTTTTAAAGCAGATCTCATACTAAAATGTAATTACTATAATAACATGTTGGGCATCTCATGTGTTCAGAAATTCAATCCAAAAATCTTCAAGAAGAAACAAAAGAATGGGAGCTCCACCAAGTCAAGTTGTCCCTACTGCTGTTGTGCTGTTGGTAGCAAGGATCGATCTCTTTCTGTCTGGGTAAGTGGGTTTTTGCTGCCTTTGACTAACATAGTCATTTGGATAACTTCAGGGTTTAGCACAAAAGTCATGTGTACTGTCTCGTATTTAGATTTTTAGGGTTTTTTTCTCTGCTGTTGCAGGATTAGCTGGGGGGGAAGGAAGTGGATTGGTATAAGTTCATTTCTCAAACAGCAAAAGCAGCTACAAGCCAGGGGCAGAGTATGTTTCCCTGGTAGGGGGGAGGAACTGTAAAGGGAAATAATGTTACCACAGTTAATAAATGTAATTCAGCCTTATCTTCTTCCTGTATCTTTTATGCATTCTCCATGTGAGTCTCATAAGAAAAAAGCCTTTACTGTTTCTCTATGTTTAGCCCGTCTACCCATTAATCACTCTTTGAGTCTAGCTTTGTTCATCTCACTTTTATGGGTATGAGGAGATATAGCAAGCACAGGGTAGCAGTTCCTGAGCGCATATACAACTCATCTTTCTGTTTTGTTCTGGCTTCAGTCTGGCCTTCTGTCTTTACTATGGAAGGGAATGTGAGAGTGAATAAGCTTTTTAAGTATATGTTCAAATTTTCAATATTAAGGTTGGGTTTTACTTTAAAATCTACACTAAAATTGTGATTCTGACTAAGAAAAAGTAGCTATTCTCACATTTATAATTGCAAGATATGTTGTTTGGCAACTGCAAAGGACAGGGAGTACATTTAACTGATTTGTAAAGCTTTGTGATGAGAACATGTACCAGAACACACCAATTACTAACTGCTATCTACTATTTATAGATTGTAGTGTGTGTGATATTTATCCATCAATCACTAAATGCATAACACTAAATCTGTTTCTGGCAGTGCTACCAGTGCATACCCATATCAAAGTATCACTCTCAGTGTATTTTGCTTTCTATTTATACTATGCTTTCATGTATGGTGCCTGTTGAGGTTATACTAGGTTTTACCAGAGGTGCAAAGTTATAGGCAGTCTTTGCCCTGAAGAGCTTAATAGATACACATACAACAGACCTATGGAAACATAGAAGAAATAACTACTACATTACCTCTGTGAAGCATTCTAGGACACATTGCCTTCTGCTTCATTTCAGTTGTGCTGTTCAGTTCATTCATCATGCTATAGATATTGAGTCCATTGGTTTAGTGTAAAAGAACTTAAAATATCTGATTTAGAAGAGGTTACTGGGAATTTTCATATTCAATTCTTTATTACTAAGCTGATTTACAAGTGTAAACCTTAAATCTTCTTTAAGAATAATTGTAAGTCAAATTCCCTTTGCTCTCAATAGACTTTGCTTTTAGACAAGTAGTCTGGAAACTAGTTTAGTCTGGAAACCTGATCTGTTTTCTGTCTTCCTTTCGCTGTCAGTTTGCAACATCCTTATCTTAGTAAAGCTTAGAATAGAAGCTGACTTTAGCATCTGCAGAATTATTTTTTGAGTGGTAGAGAGTGTTCTATGACTGCAATGTAATGGCAAAGTTAGTTAAGAAATTCATCCTGTTTCAGAAGGGAGAGGTTTGAATATCAGCTCCAGATGGATGATCTGTTCTCCAGAGCTTCTCTGTGCCAGTAGTGGAATGGGTAACTAGGTGCTTCAGATAGACTATCAGGCACACAGCTGTCTCCTGGCCAGATCTTGTTTGGTGAATGTTGTTAGGCTCAGGGAGAGTGTTAATGTGGTAATGGTACCATAGGACTTCTAAGCTTCTGTTGTTTCTTCTGTTTTAAGCTCACATGTCTGAAACGACCGTTAGTTGTCATACATGAGCTGTTTGACAAATCTATCATGGACATTTCCTGGTAAGTTGATTTCTATTGTATGTTACAAAAGCCAAAGTGTTATCAACTTTAGGTACACACATTAACTGGAAATTTCTTAAAACAATACACATTGTAGCTGTTGGAACACAATGGGTTCCTGAAGTTTTTGGTTCTGCTGCAACATCTTTGGTAGTAACAATAGCAACTAGCAGGTGGTCACTTGAGATTGTATGACATTAAAACTCAACAAAAACTAATATATTTAGAACATAAGGCAGTAAAATACTCGTGGAATGATTCTCTGAATTTTTTTTCATAGAGTATGTAATTTATACCATAGCATGGAGAACATGATGAGTTTTAGATGCATTGCATCTATGAAAAGTTATTGCACTATACAGTTATGTAGGATTCATGTTAGCCTCCTAGGATGATCTTGCCATCATGGCTAAGGAGAGACAATATACCACAAGAGACTTATTTTTGTGGGAGTATTTTTATGTTTTATATGTACACTCATTTATCACACACATGCACTGCTCTCTCATCATTTGAATATCTGAAGGTTTTTCATATGTAAAAAAAGTAAACGCAATAGCTTTTGTTCTTTAGTAAAAATGCAGTCATACTGTGTTGTTGCAGCACCATGTGAAGGGTGTTGAAGAGCAACAGAGGCTGATCATGTAGCAAGTCTCAGAAAAGGGCTAATGCAGGTACTACACACAACCACACCTCATCCACAGGACGTAGCAGAAAGGCAAGGGCTGAGTTTTCCCAAGAGGCTGCAGCACATCTCTAGTGATTTGGGTTGAGTTGGACAACCCATATTCCCAGCAGTCCAACATCCCAAATCTTGTTTTCCTCCTTCTGCAGTTAGTGGTGCTGTCTCCTCTCCTGCTTTCTTCCTAAGGCCTGGTCATAAAAGTGCAGAAGTTAATATTTCTTTATTCACTGCAAGATGTGAATAAAAAGGGAGAATTAACCTGAGACCACTCAGTAAGTGGTGTTAAAAAATACTTGCCACCTGTGCATCAGGTCATTTACAGAGCTATGGGTTCTGTACAATAAAAGAATTTTTTTCATGATAGGCACACTGCTGATTGCCCAGTTTGTCTTAATTCTATCACTCCCTAACTTTTGAAATCCTACTTTAATAAATATAACAATCATGGTGGAATTATGCTGCAAATTTTAAAGCGCAGAGTTGTGTAACTTACTGTTTTCTGTGTGCCATGTGGAGTTTGACATGAAGCTCAGTGAAGCATGACAAAAAGCTTTAAAAAAACCCAACATTTTTCTTTAATTGATAGATTTAAGACTAGAAAGCCAATATGTGGAGTATTTGATGAGAAGTGCTGCTATTGTTGTAGTACAATAGCTTTGAATAGTTTTGTTTTCCCATAGCATTTTTTATTTCTCCATCTGCAATTTGCATATTTTTCATGGGGTAAAGTCATTGGGAGTAATAGCTGGTTAACGTTTTGCCATTTCTGAGAAAATGGTTTTGTGGGATATTTCAGAGACAAAGAATCATCAGGAAGCTTGTTATTTTTATATCCTGTTTACACATTGAAATGTATGGTTAAAATGCCAATAATATGGAATGTTCCCAGAAATATGCTCCATTCTGAAAACAGACTGAGTGAATTCAGAGGAATCTGACACTTGCGTATTGTTACAGCTTTCTGTTTTCCACTTCAGAGTTTTAGACTTGTATCCATCATCATAATACCTGAACATGATAATGTTTTCATAGAACAATTGATCCAGAGGTTAACAGAAGCTCAGCAATTTTGTCTGCTAAGTAAGCAGAAAACTCTCAACAATACTTTATCATTTTCTAACTTGGAGCAGTGTTGGTTTAACCTAGTCACAAGGTGCCAAGGCAGACTGGTCTGAATGTGATGCCATGAGGATGTATCACCCTTTGCGTGTGAGATTTTTATGCCTATAGAGCAACATTCTTCAGTCCACCTATGGTAAAAGCTATCAGGGCACCACCCACCATGAAAAAATGTTTTTGAATATCTATAACAGGATGAATGTGCTATACTTTTAAGCCTTGCTAGATTAGTTTGGATAGGATTTCAGGGTAATGCCTATGTCCCTTTCCTTTTCTGGTCTCTGTAACCAGTCATGTGTAAAGCAGTCACTGTCTCTATGAGCTCTATAATTGGAAGTTACTGGGTTAGCAGTCAAAACTCATGGTATTTTTTTTTTTCCAAATATGCATTTATAGCTTATATGTGGAAGGATATAATTGCATGAAGACTGGAATGTATAGTTTCTCCTTTCTCTTCCACAAGTAAAACCTTTTTGGGACCTCCAGAGGATGGTTAGACTATACCTCCACATAGAAGAATATGTGCAGTTTGCTTAAAAACCTAAATAATGAACAATAACAAAATAAAACAGATTCTTGCCTAGTATAGAGATCTTTGGACTGCTCAGATGCACATCTTGCTTTCTTTTTATTGCTGTCGCTTCAGATAATGACAGAGAAGAGATACTTCTCCAACTTCTTTCTTTATCTGTTACTTATTTCCCATGCATAATGCAGCTTCATCTTCTGTGGGCCCCTAAGAGCAGTTTATGTGGCCTGAAAAGAAGTGCGTCGATTGCTTCTCTGTGGAAGGCCCCTTTCTTCACCCAGTTCCATTAGCACATCAATTTTGTACATCTATAGAAGAAGCACATAATTTTATCTCATTGTTCATTGTTTTACTCCTACAGAAAGGTTTTCATGGTGCTGATCATGCCATGGGTAGGTGTATTGCTCTTATGCCACCTTCCTGTGTGCAGCCTCCAAGGGAATAACAGCACATGGACTTCTGCTGCCCATCACCCTGTCTCCTTGCTGTCCCACTTCTTATGCTAACATTTTTATTGAGCAATTTTATTGTATTGTCCCTTTGTATTAATGAAAGAGATTGAAAACAAAGATGGACCTTTATTTCCTTCAGGACCCTTAATGGACTTGGTATCCTGGTGTGTTCCATGGACGGATCAGTGGCGTTTTTAGACTTTTCCCAAGATGAACTTGGAGATCCACTCAGTGAGGAGGAGAAGGTACAGTAAGCATTCAGATAATCTGTGATCATGTTTAAGGAATGTATTGATTCAATTAAAATATCAGACTATTTATAGAAGTATGTAGTGGCTGATTTCCATTTTACAGAGAAATGTGTTCTTGACTGCTTTACAGATCATAAAAAAGGTAGTCAAGAGATGGGTTTGTGTTTCTATTTTGGAAAGAAATTCTGTTTGGAAAGCATCCACTTGCTTACAAATCATTATACATTTGAAGTAATTATTTGTCCAAGGAAACAAGGAGTGGGTGCTTCAAAACACTTTAAAATTATTATTTGACTTGCATATATGCAAGTCTTTTAAAACTGATTGCTGTTGGCTGTGTTTTCCTCTCATTGCTATTAGCAACTAAAGCTTTGAATTCCAATTATTTTATGTATTGATTTAGTGTTAGCTGGAAATATCAAGAAAGAAAAAAATCTGTTGTGTGTAGAGGGCATTTGCATTTTATGGATTCCATTAGATTTGTATGATTCCATCTCATTACAATTAGTGATGTCATGAGAGCAGTTGTAGTCACTCTTTTTGTATGATACGTTTTTAACACCCACAGAGCAACATTCATCAGTCCACCTATGGTAAAAGCCTGGCTATCATGACTGAAGCTCAGTTGTCTACCACCATTATTGAGAATCCAGAGATGCTCAAGTACCAACAGAGACAGCAACAGCAGCAGGTGGAGCAGAAGAATGCCTCAATTAGGGAAGCATCTGGGTCTGCAGCAGCGACTCCCAAAGTGGCGAGCATGGTTAATGGGGAGAGTTTGGAGGACATTAGAAAGGTAGGTGTTCTGGGAGAGTCACTTCACAGTGTCACTAAGCTGATAAATACCAACCTGCTTATTTATTTTTCATGTTGAAGGGCACCTTTCACCCCATGAATGGCCCAGGAGACATCACTGGCACTTATTGAAAAGTTAAAATGTTTTTAAACAACAATAAGACCATGTGAAAAAGGCTTGTGGGTATTTCTCTGAATGCTAAATTCATGGTGTGCAGAAAGGAAGCCTAAGATAGCTAGTAACAGTCCAACTGTAGAATTGTGCTTTTCTTTCTCAGTGAAGGAGATTGAAAGCGTTATTTAATTATCCCCTAAACATAGAACACAATTTTAATGAAGGATTCTGCATATAGATAAGAGTGATTTGGACTTGACTCTCTTATGTGGAATCAGAATTCTCTTGTACTTTGTAATGTATGAACTTCTACTTGAAAAACACCTACTATTGCTAAAAAAAACCAAACTGTAGTACTAAAATACACTTGTATTAATAAAAATATGGATTGATTCTATTTACACATCAACAGTGTGGCTCAAGATGAATGTGGAAAAAAAACTTGTAACAGCTTTTTAATTAAGGAACATCTTTCATTGAATACACCTATAATTGTCAGTTGGAAAAAAATTAAAAAAGCATTTTCTATTTAACAGAAATGACAATGAAATATGTTTCCCAACAGAATCTCTTAAAAAAGCAAGTTGAAACACGAACAGCAGATGGTCGGAGAAGGATCACACCTCTCTGCATAGCTCAGCTGGACACTGGGTATGTTTAGAAGTCATCTTTAAAATCCTTCTTTACCTTTTTATTGGTGCAAACTCAGAATTCTGACTTAATATAATCTTATGGCATCTAGAAGCTCTTGCTGGAAATACCTGGAAATACAGAATATAATTTCAGCCTATTTTCTCTTAGCTAAAAGATCCTGCTTCCAATAGATAATTCTCATTATCTACTATTGCAGGTGAGTGAAGAACACTCACCTTTATAGATGAATGAACAATACTCTAATGTATTGCAAGTTCGTATCTACATTTATAGTGCCTTTAGTGTCCTTAGATGAGAAACAACTGTGGAAAATTAGGTGGTGGTGGTTTATTTAGGTTGTGCATGAATTGTGGAAAGAGAGAATGGAATAAACAGTTTAGTTAAAAAAAATTATTTTTGTATTTTTACATATTCTTTTTAAACTGTTGTCTAGAAATATATTTGTTATTTGTCTTTTTGCTCAGGGATTTTTCTACAGCATTTTTCAATAGCATCCCAATATCTGGATCTCTCTCTGGTTCAATGATGTCTTCTCAAAGTAACCAACAGCTCATGTCATTAGATTCCAACGCTGCAAATTCCTTTAATGCTTCAAAGCCTTCTGTAGAGCCAACAGCAGCCAGTATAAAGCCAACAGAAGATGCAGCCAATAAAGATGGGTCAGTATTTGCAGTTTTGTTTTTTGCTTATATGTCTCTGTTTAGTTACTAATTCTTGTTTACAGTTCTGTAATCAAGCAGTTGTTAAAGTGATTTTCTTACTGCAAAACTTCAAGAAACTAACATTCCTGAATGCATCAAGTTTTTATTAGTATTTAATTACTTTAAATAGTGATAAATCAGTAATTAATAAATCCATATGCATAGTTCTGAAAATGAGCTTCAGTGCAATGAGGTACATGGATGATTGCTAAGGCTCTAACAAATTTACTTGCTTATAGGTTACTGGGCTGCTATTAGTAAATAATAGATGGTTTTCCTGCAGTGGAAGCAAGGAAGCCTGTTTCCCATCCAATTCTGTCCTGTAGATCTCCTCTCTACAAACATAGTCCTACTTCTTCCCTGTAAACAACCACCAAAGAAGAGTAAGCACAGTTACTTGTCAGTGCACAGATGTTGCTTGACCAGGATGTCTTTCAAGTTAGTTATGGAGTAACTTCATTTTACTTACTTTTCCCTCAGTGGTAAAACTGGCTTGATTTCTTCTCCTCAATGTGTTTTTTTTATAGCATTTGTAAGAGCACAATGTCATTGGGACCTCAACCACTCCATCAATTTTAGTTGAAATTGGCCACAGATTAAAAAAATGGGTGGGTAGACTATAAGAGATGCCTGAAGATGAAACAATTAAATCTCCTTTTCTCTGGAAACTGGAATTCTAACTGCTTTTTAGTACAAAGATCAGTTATCTTAGAGCCATTCTTTCTTTCAATTCATTCTCTGAATGAATTGAAAAATCTCTAAAATAAACAGCTATTCAAATAACAGATCCCTGGAATGCTTTAGTGTGGGGAAACCACATTCCTTTCCCTTAGAGTTATGCTTGGAAAGGCCTAATAATTAGTTTGGATTATTCAACAACAAAATCAAAATCTGGCTTGAATTGTTTTAGCCCAAATTGTTTGATTGATAAACAGTGGAATATAACCTTGGCATGGAAAGTATTTGGTAACCTGAACAAGGGATAAAACTGAGAATCCCAGTCACCATTTTACATAGTGATCCTTTTCCTTTGAGTGCCTAAGTACCAGCTGAAAGTATCATTTAATTCCTGAATTAAAAATACAAAATTAATCAATTAGGGTCTTTTAATCTCCATGTACCTCTGCAGACACATGAAGCCCTCAGCTCTGAGATGTATCATAAAGAGCTTTTGAATGTTGGCACAGCTTGCAAGATAGTGACACAGGAAAGGGGGAAAAGCATATCATAATTCATGTATGGCCTTGAGTGAAAGGCTTTCAATCTGTTTTCTAGCCAGTATAACAAATGCTAGCTAGTTGTTATGAGCACTTCAGGTTACAAATACTACACTTCTTTTAATCCTTGTTTTCCTGACCCTTTTACTGACAGTATAAATGCTACCTCTGCCTCAACTGCTCCTACTGCATCCTCTTCCTCTGTGCTGACAACTCCATCCAAGATTGAACCTATGAAAGCATTTGATTCTAGATTTACAGAACGATCCAAAGCCACCTCAGGGACTGCTGTTGTAACAAATACAAATCAAACTATTGTGGACAGGTAAGGCATAGTCGGAGGGGGAGCGGGAGGGCAGAGGTGTGAAGGGAAAAGGTAGCAACGTGGATTCTCTGTGGTGTGGGTGTCTGATGCTGGCACTCTGGAAATCTGTTCCACATCTGGCAGGAAGGGGACAGCTGCAAATCGGTAAATTCTTTGCTGTCATTATCCCTTTCTACATTTGCCTCTGGCATTTGGGATCAAGCAGACTCTTGAAAATACTCTGCATTAAAACTATCGTTACCAGTGGCTGTGTGTGCACACCTCCATATGTGGCTGCATGCATCTGTGCTCCATAGCAGGCAGAAATGCCAGCCTGCACCTCTGTGAAAGAGTGAGTTTGACTCCCAGATACATCAGCATACATGTCTGCAGAGAGGGCCTATTGTTATAATAGTATATAATTATATAACATATATATTACATATATCATTATAATTATATATAAATATGTAATTATAATAGCTGCGGTTGTGTCTCAGTTTTATGCCTCGAAGACATGCAGAGAAGGTGCTTTGATTTCCAGGGGTTTTGGCTCTGGATCCACATGATTTTTATAAAAAAGAATAAAAGTTTTTGTTTTGTGGCATAGCATGTTATGGCAGAAGTATTCCTGCTTCACCAAAACACATGATAAAAAAACATAGCAGTCTTGAAAGAAGTATGTAGTTGCCCAACTCACAAAATGTGTTTGCAGTAAATGCCTCAATATTTTTATATCAAAGGGTTTGACCATGCGATACAAAAGAAAGATGTATTAAGTTGCTCTCATAATTGCTTCTAATGTCCCAGAACAGTATGGATAAAAGCATATTGTTTGGCATACTTGAGATGCCAAAGAAAAAAGATCTTGAGTACATAGAATATTTCTAGGAAATACCTTTATCCAGTTGCGAACTGCTAGGTTCATTAATTTTTTTTAAAGGAGAGAAGGTGTCTGAGCTTACATCCATACTGCACCTTCTACTTTTGTGGAGGATTTACCATCCCTCTTTGGCATCTTTCTCTTGCCTTTGTGCATATGGAAATATACTCGAGGCTAAGAATATAATCTACAAAAATGCAGTGTGTAGGATATGTGGTAGCTTTTGGATCAGCTTATATAAAATGTGAAATATGTACTTTTTTTTACTTGTTCAGACTGAAGGATCAGAATTTAATTAAAGACAATAAGCCCAAGGATATTCTGGAGAGTAGCAGTGACAGTGAAGAGAAGATTCCAGCTGCTAAACCACTCAGTGCTCCCAAACGGAAACTGGAACTTGAGGGAGAAACAGTTGAAAAGAAGAAAAAAGGAAGGCCCAGGAAAGACTCCAGACTTGTACCAGTAACTTTAACTGTTCAGGTGAAAGAAATATAGATTCATTGTAGTTTTCAGTGTTTGTTTAATAAAGTCAGTTCCATGCTGACTTGTTGCATCAAGTCAGGGAAACATGAGTAGTATCAGGCTCTCAGAATTTTTAGCCATCCTTCTTCCTTGCCTTTAAACTTAGTCTTTTTTAAAATTTAGGATTATAAGAAGCATATGGACCTGGTGTGGCAAATGTGTCAGTTCTTTATTTCAGTATGCAGCTACTTACTAAATGGTACCAGCATGTGAAGCAGTGGTAGCCAAATGACTGTAGAGAATAAAATGAAACTCCAGTGGTGGTTGGTGTATGATGGAGGGTGGTCCAAGCACAAGACAGTAACTTGAATCTGGTGACTTTTAAATGGTTATGAATTTCCTAGGAACCATGAAGGAGTTAGTTGCATTGGAATTTCCATCATTTTAGGGCATATAGGTCCCTCTGTTTTCAGTATTCAGAGCTTAGCTTTCATGCAGTGTACCAAAATTTTCATTAATTAATTCCAGCTGAAAAGGTGATGGTGGTGCCTGTAAAAAAAAAAAAAGGACCACATCTAGTTTGCTTTGCTTTAATTCTTAGAAGCTAGATTTAAAAAATTGTATTTACAGAACCAATTAGAAAAAGACTAATATTTGCAGTTGGCATTATTTGGAATTTTTTAAAAACTTTTTTCTTTCAAATTAAATCTGTATTATAGAGTATCTTTTAAACTATTTTTAATAGAAAAATTTAACCACTTTTGCAAATTTTTTTTTCCAGTCCCCAGCTACTCTGGCCTCTGAGAAGGATGCTTGCATCTCTGCACCAGCATTAGCACTTAAACTGCCAACCCCAATCCCACAGAAATCATTTACTTTGCAAGTAAGTGGACTATAAGGGGGAACAAACTTAATACTTAAAAAAAAAATCCTACTTAAAAAAAAAATAATTCTTAGATTATTCAGGATCTTTCAATAAATTAACAATTGAATGTGTATTTGTTCAAGCAAACAAGATGGTGTACTTCAGCTTTTAAGAATATGTCTGTATAAGAAAAGTTAACAGCAAATCAGCTAAAAACAGGACACTTCTCATCTAACTAAACTTCAGAGAGGAGTTACCTCTGCTTCATCAGTCCCTCCTCCTGGTTACGCTTGTCGTAAAGATGGGAGGCTGGGATGGGAATAACTGGTGCGTTGTTACTGCAGCTGTATTGGTAGCACAGTGCTCAGGAGGGATTTCCCACAGCTCTCTGGAGATGCTCTACATCTGAAGTGACTGGTAAATAGAATTAGCTTGGGTATTTATGAAATAATTTTTCTATGTGTTTAGGCTGTAGTGGTCTGGTTCTAATTGCAAGATTGTAGGGAGACTGGGCACATCTAGAATTGACCTGTTGCCTTTGATTAGGAAGCACAGACTAGCACAACTGTGCTTCATTCTTAAGCTCCCAATACAATGAAATTATTTATGTTCTAGCCAAGACTGATTTTCATATACCTGCTTCTTTTGAAGTAGCACAGTGTATTTTGAAACCATTTAAAACAGAGAATGCTGTACTTAAATCCATTCTTACAGTCAGGATTGTTTGGGATCTAATAGTAATTGCTGGATTTTTGAGTACTACTTCTCCTCCTCCAAAAAGTGGGTTTATTTTTTGTTTTTCAGATAAGTTCAGATCCATCAATGTACCTTGAAGTAGAGAATGAAATGACCACAGTGGGAGGTTCCAAGTTGAGCAGGTTAAAGTGTAATCGAGAAGGAAAGGAATGGGAGACCGTCCTCACCAGTCGAATTCTCACTGCAGCAGGAAGCTGGTAAGAGAGACTGTTTTGGAGGAAGTGGAGCCTGCAGAATGTATCTATAGGTATACAGGTGTATATATGCCTATAATAATTATGTATGTTATATATATGTTATATATACATTTGAACTTTTCCTTTGGTACCCAGGAGTTTTTTTAAAAGCTGTAATAGTTGCCTTTGGGGAATTCGCTCAAATTTATTTTATGCTGCTTGCATTTAACAAACCAAGTGTTTCTCTTTGATCTCAGTTTTCTTTTCTTTCTGGTTTTGTTTTGGTTTTTTAGTGAGATTGTCAGTGTGGCCTGTGAGAAACGAACATTGTCAGTATTTTCAGCTTGTGGTCGTCGCCTTCTTCCCCCTATAGTATTGAAGACACCCATTTCCACCCTACATTGCACAGGTTCTTACATCATGGCTCTTACCACTGCTGCTACACTCTCTGTTTGGTAAGTACCACGTGAGGCTGCAGCAGCTGCCTAGGCTAGTGTTCATAGGTAACTGTGTTCAGTTGAAAATGAGGCTTAAAACAGGTAAGGTCTGATCACAACTCCATTTTTTTATGTAATATGAACAGTTAATTGAGCAGGATGTGAATCCTGTTTCTTTTTATTCTAGGGAGGTCCATAATGTTGAAGTTTATCTAGAAGGAAGATAGATGATCTGCTAGAATTTACTAGTTTAAACAAACTCCCTAAGATAGACTTGCGTCATGGATGGAATGGATTGAGGGAGTAAAAAGGAGAAATAGGGGTATTTCCAACTTCCATTATACTTGGCCAATAAAGCATGAGTTTCTGAGTTGGAAGTACTCTAACCATCTTTGAGATACAAAAATAAAAACTGCACTACTTGTTTACAGTTGTTGAATTTAATCTCATGTTTCATGCAAGTTAGAGCTCCTAGAGGAGTCGTTTGGATCCTTAGTGTTTACAGGGCTGTAATGAGGTTTCCTGACTAAGAGCCATAAAAGTTGTTCTCTGCTATTAACTTTTGTCTTTCCATAAGGGATTTGAGTTTGCCAAAATAATTTTCTTGAACCAATGAAGAAAATGTCAAAATCAAATGTCAAAATGTCAAACCAAACTCCCCCAAAAAACCCCACTTTGTCATGAATATAGAAGAAGTGCATTTGTTAAATGATTTTTGAGCTCTCAGTTGTTTTCAAGCTGCAGACTTATCCTTTTGTCTTTTTTCAGGAATGTTCACAAGCAGACAGTCATTGTTAGAGATGAGTCTTTGCAAACAATATTTTCAGGTAATAAAAAGAGTCACTAGCCTTTGAGTCCAACTGTGCTATTTAATGCCATTTATGAGTGTGCTGGAATTTTATGAAACCTGAAAAGCCTAACCAAATCATTTTACTTTGTTATTGTGTAATAAAGGGAAGTCATTGGAAGTGTTGAAATACAGTAGAAATAACTGAGATGAGAATATTAGCAGTTAACAGACTTGTACAAGATTCTGTAGCTTATTATATTCTGGCTTGCTTCTGAATGTGAAGATTCAGTGTTGTGAAGATCACAAACAAAATATTTAAATCTGCTATTATGCAATTTCTTTCTGTGCACTTTACATTTATATTATCTCTATGATAAACAACAGTTGATTGTCTCAAATTTGTTGCTTCAAAATCTTAATTTTCTAGCATAGGCAATGTCTGCACAAAACAAATAATCAAAAAAGCAGTGTCTCAGAGCATATTGGCTTCTATTTTAACTTTAATCCATACAGCACTAATCAAAACTACCTAGAGAAGTAGTTGTACAGGCAGTTTGCAAATGTCTTTGTAAGAAGTTAAATGCATAAACCCTGGGTTGTGCTGGGAAATGAGACTCCGGCCATCCCACATGTACTATGTCCTTGGAGAGCACACTTTTCTGAATATGCTGGTTTTTAGAATTTTAACTTAGTGGGAAACAGAAAGATAAAGGCTTCTTGAGCTATGGAAGACATGGCAGAATTGCTGAAGATTGCCCCTAGATATGGAGAATATTTCCAGTTAAGACAATGTTCTGTATAAATTGCAGCATCAAGACTGCTAATGTGTTTTACAAAAGTTATTTTAATACTACTGCACTGAGGCTGGTTCTTACAATCATTGTCTGGTGTCTTGACCTTCCTTTCAGTGCTGGAGAAAAATATTTAGTGAACCTCCTTCTGTTGGTTGCCATTACTGAGAATTAATGGGGGACAGTATTTTTTTACCATTATGAATGTTATGCAAAGAAATACTTTGGTCTGCCTTGACTTGTAGGAAGTGATGCAACTGTCTCTCAGATCTTGCTGACTCAGCATGGCATACCTGTAATGAGCATGTCTGATGGGAAGGCATACTGTTTTAATCCTTCTCTTTCTACATGGTAAGTTATCTATTATTTCCTGCTTTTGCAATTTCTCTGAACTGATGTGTATTCTGCTTTACTGCTTCACTCCATATTTTGAAGATTGGTCTGAGAAGGATCACACAGCAGGCTTAGTTTTGCTTTGGTTCACTATTGCATGTCTAGGCTTTGCTCTAGTATATTCTTATGATTTATTATGTTTAAAATTTAAAAAATTAAAAAGTCAAACTACAGTTTTACTTCATCACTTTTCTGCACAGCACATACCCTTATTTCTTAACATACACCTGTGTACATCAGTTGAATCTGTCAAGCAGTTGGCAATGATTAAAGATAATCTAGCCTTACCATTAACTTTTTACGTAAAATAATGCAGTTCTAGAAAATCTGTCAACTCCATTTTCAGGGGTTTGTTGGGACTTCAGATATGTTAAAATTATTTTGCCCAGTTTCCAGAAAAAAATAAGACATGCTCTCCAATTCTGAATGTCTGTGTGCCTGAACTTGTCAGTGCCCATCACTCCTTAGTATTCCTTTGGAACTGATATTCAGTCAAGTTTGAAGAGAGCTCTTTGTGTGCGAGATGTAAAAGTTAAATCAAGATAGTAAGTCAGGTAGGGGAGGAAGGAAGAAATAATTATACCTTGGAGAATTCCTATGGAAGAGTCATTACTGATGTCCTAAACACAAGGAAAGGCTTTATAGTAGTCTGTGCCTTAGTGGATATCAGATAGGCATTCTCCACAGATTCTATTACTTCTCTCAAGGCATAAGTTCCCAGAAGAAAAAATTTCCATGGTTAAATTATGTATAGTGTCTTTCCAAAACAGATTCTTTGTTGTATTTTTAGGAGGAGAAAACATGTTGCAGTCTTAATATAATTGTGGTACTTAGTGTAATGAGTATGCTTAATGAAAGGGCTTGTTGTCTTAATTCCTCCCTACAATAATTGTTACTACTCAACTACTTGATGTGGATCCTTTGGAGAATAAAAAAAACACCTTGTTTGTTCTTTAGATAAACTGAGCAATTATTCAGAAAGATTCCTAGTCAGTAAGGAGCAGAGAACAGGCTCTCAGCCACAGTTCTGGATTTGCTGTCATTTCTTAGTTTGTACCACAGCTTTTGAAATAGATGAGAGAGCAATCCCCAGAGTCATCATACAAATTTAACCATGATAAAGCAGAAAAGGGTATTTTAAATATTTGTGTCATTTTACCTCTGAGCTGTCTGGAGGTCTAAACATAGAGCCACTGATTCCCTTGGCATCTCAAAACAGTGAAAGTGATATCCTTGATTTGGTGTGGAAATGCCAGCTGTAACTGTCAGCTCCCTCCATATGAAGGAGTAGTTGCAATGTATGGGAGAGATGGACAACATGTGTGATCTGAGATGACTTTTCTGGTGGGTGGGGGGACCTGACATGAGGTAAAATCAAGTTCTCAATGAGAAAGTCATGACCTGTGCTCACTCCAGTCTTCTTTCTGGGGCATGACTTCTTACTAGAGGTAAAATGACAAATAGCAAGGTCATTTCCTTCAAAACTAATGCTAAATTGTATTATACGATTCATGTTATGAACTTTAGGGGTGGGAGGGACATTTCTGTGACAGCACAAGTGTAATTTGGACATGGAGTGGAAACAGTTGGGGTCTGTGAAATTGCTGAGCATCTTGGTGAGTTTTTTTTTGTTGTTATCTGTTAAATACAAGTCAGGCTTCAAGGCAGAACAAAACGAGATCCCTTAATATCACTCCTTACTTTCCTCAAATCTCTTTTGTGTTTGTTTGTTTGTTTTCAGGAATCTTGTTTCTGACAAACAGGACTCTCTAGCACAATGTGCAGACTTCAGGAATAGTTTACCATCCCAAGAAGCCATGCTGTGTTCTGGGCCCTTAGCTGTGATACAGGGACGAACATCGAGGCAGAACAAAACGAGATCCCTTAATATCACTCCTTACTTTCCTCAAATCTCTTTTGTGTTTGTTTGTTTGTTTTCAGGAATCTTGTTTCTGACAAACAGGACTCTCTAGCACAATGTGCAGACTTCAGGAATAGTTTACCATCCCAAGAAGCCATGCTGTGTTCTGGGCCCTTAGCTGTGATACAGGGACGAACATCGAAGTACGTACCTACTTTCTTCATTTGATCAGCATGTTTGTCTTTGTTTCCCCTGTTGTTTATTCATGTTCTTCAATCAGTGAGTTAATTCTTAAGATGCTAATGGCTCCAAAAATTATCAGTAGCTCATAGAATGTGGGGTTTTTTAAACCTCTGCACATAAATAGTCTGTATCTTAATTTTATTTTGGAGTTGAGAGGAAGGAAAGCGTGCTCTGAACTTTAATCATTTAGAGGCTCTTTCTTGGCTGGATGAAGTATTTAACGATTCTGTACATGTAATATTTTGATTAGCTAAACTGACTTTCTTACATTTTACATTTGTAAGTTTTAGTTTACCAGCTTTGGAGTAGGCCTACACATTTTGAGTAGTTCAGTTGTCCTCAGGGAATCCATTTAATGAAGTCTTTGAGAAAGCTGAGTGATTAGTCATCTAATGCATAATTTTAACATCTGCAAATATCACCAGGGAATTTTGTGAGCCACAGCAGACTCCTGTAGATAATTTAATAGCCCATCCTCACCTGGCTTTGAATTAGATTTCCCAGGCAGTTTTCTCTGTTATGTCTGACCTTCATCTGAGTTTAATTTTTTGGTGAGAAAAACTGTATAGAATTGTATTATTTTATTGCTGTTCTCATGGGAGGGAAATTAATTGGGAAGTATATTTGAAATCCAAACAAACAGCACTCTTTTTGAGATAAAATATCAGACTGAAAAATTAAGATTTTTTTTTTCAAAATGGAAATAATTGGCTACTTTTTTCAAATTAACCTTCTTATAACAATACATTTATCTGCAAGAAAGCCTTTAAATGCTTTAGGCTAACATTATATCTTGTGTTTGTTTCATGACTTTCACCTGGGAGGGGCAAAAAGTAAAGGCAGTCGAGTTTCTTATAAACATTTAGGAGCACTTGGTCACTGGAAAGGATGTGTTTTACAGGAGAAGATGAATGAAAGAGGAAAAATAACAGGAGGCAGAAAACCCTCCAGGGACCTTGATAGTTATAAATCTTGGCCCAGAGGAGGGGAAGGCAGTTTGCTATGAAATGCTGCCTTTGTCATTAAAAGCCTGAACTCTGGAAGCACTAGGTGCCTCTGGAAAAGAAGTGTAGACGAACTTCTGCTACAAAAAAAAACCTTACTTGTTAAACTAGCATGTGATTCTGTGGCTGGCACGTTCATTTTTCTTTGGTTTTGTAGTTCAGGAAGGCAAGCTGCAAGATTGTTCTCCATGCCTCATTTAGTGCAACAAGAAACAACTCTTGCATACCTGGAGAGCCAGATTGCTGCAGCACTTACGTTACAGTCCAGTCACGAATATCGCCACTGGCTCCTTATCTATGCACGGTACCTAGTCAATGAAGGTGAGACCTGCTACCCTCTGTTACTTCTTTGCAGCTCTGATGGGTTTTTAAGAAACACTCTGTTCATGTCATGTCACTTTAATGTTCTCCTTTCAGTGCTTGGCTTATTCATGTCATGTCTATTTATGATTACACTTTAATGTTCTCCTTTCAGTGCTTGGCTTCTGGACTCAGTGTTTACTTAAAACCAAAACAAGCTGCTGAAGAGCATTTGCTTCTCATAGTGCTCAGTACTGAGGAATCTGTGTACAGATCATGGGCTGGGGAAACTGTGCTGTCTCTGGACAGGAATTGCATTCTAAAACAGCCTAGTGGTCTGTCAGGCATATCATAGGTACTTGGCAGCAGCTACAGATCTTTCAGAGGAACCAGCAACACCTTGTAAAATTCCTCAGCCAACTGACAGTTACTGCCTGATGGGAATGGAAGAATCTTGGCCTCTGACACTTTGAGCCAGAGCACATAAAACTACAGGGAATGTGCTTGTCTTACTTTATACTTTTTTTTACATTCCAAAATTTGAAAAGCCTGTACTGGTGGGCTCCACAGGTTAAATTCTGTGAGGCAAGAAACCACAGGAAAGGGTGCTTGTGATTATTTTATATTTGAATACACAGTATCTCTTTACCATTAGGTGAAATAAGGCTGACTTCATGCTTCTTGGATGCTAAAGACTTTTGCTGTATCTCTGCCTGTCTTCTTTCCAAATTTAGTACAGGACACATTGTATTAATTCAGCCTTATTCCTCACCATGCATAATCATTTTACACAGAGGGAAGCAAAATGTAAATGGTTTGTGTTAGGCCACCTGGCAGTAGTTGGCAGAATTAAAATTAAGCTCATTAATTCATACCTTTTGACCTCAACCTTATTTAACAAGAGAGTTTCATGAACTGTATGTGATTCTCTCTGTCCTTCCCCAGTTGAGATTAAAATGTTTAGCTTAGTTCATATGTTAAAGAGACAGTTATACTTTTAAAAGTCTTTACTAATTGAGGACACCTGTGTTGTGTGTGCAGGGTTCATCTTGCACTGTGCCAGTGTCACTGCCTTGTGCGTGTGCCTGCACTGGATGTCACTGCACATTCTGCTTTGCCATGCTTCACTAGTTTTCTAGGTCTGCTAAATTTTGAAAACTGTATATACTATTATTGACCCTTTTCTCCTGTGATGGTTTCAATGTTTAATCAATTCTAATCCATTAAAAGTATTTAATCCGTTATAACTTGGTTGGCAAGTTATTCTTGAATGGATTACTTTGTTACTTGCAAGGGAATTCACCCCTCTGATTTTTTTCAGTGAATAACCCTGCCCTGAAAATTGTATGGTTTTATTAAAGTTTTTATTTTATTTTTTGAACATGCATACAGATCAATTGGATCCAATTTAATTTTGTTATAAGCTTTTTTGCTAAGGTTTTGAGAGATCTCTTATAGTTTAGTCATATTATAATGTTTCACAAGAATGTCTGATTTTTATTTTTTTTTTCCCACTACTGGCTCCATTTTTCCCAATTCATATATTGCCACTAAATGCAACTTAACAACTTTTCCCCTTCACTGGTTTTCATCTTGTGACTTTCCAACTCTTGTGATATCTCTTTTGTAATAGTTTTCTGGCTGTTGAAGTCTTAGTTTTTCCAATGTTTTTTGTTTTGTTCTTTTGAAATCTGGTATATTTATGTGGGAGGTGGGAGTAAGAGGGGAGGGCAACTCTTAAACTTGAGTAACTACTTCAGTTTTTTTCCCTGTGGTAGATCTTTAGTAGCAGTTTTGGTTTTGAGAACTTTTAAAATAAAGCCCTTTGAAACTCTAAAATAAATCCCTTACAAATCATCTTTCCAAAGTTTTGCTGTTAAGAGAATAATAGACGTTTTCAGAAATCAATGTTTTGGGCTTTGTTGTATTCTAGATTCTTGTAACTCTTTCCTGAATGTTATCAGTTAGCTTGTGGAGTGTTTATATAGTGAAATGCTTATGCATGTGATTTTATTTTCTGATAATATTCAGGGTTTGAATATCGTTTGCGAGAATTATGCAAGGATTTACTGGGTCCAGTCCATTACTCAGCTGGAAGTCAGTGGGAATCAACAGTTATGGTAAGTCCTGAACATAGAGAGACAAAAGAACTTAAAATATGATTAAACTTGTTGGCAAAAAAAACAATCACAGATTATTTTTGCTGACCCTGGAGCCCTTTCCATACTCTGCAGAATTGTGTGTTCAGCTCTCCACGTTCTTCTGACAGCAACTGAAATAGTGACATGCCAGGGAAATGTCCTCCCTTCTCAGAGCATGTCTGGAGTCTGCAACTGCAGAGGCTGCACCAGCTTCATGAGTGTATATAAATGTAAAGACAGTTTTATTCTGGAGTTGTGTAAACAGAGTAAGAACATAAAATACACAGCTCTCTCCAGGCAGGAAAAAAAAGGCATGAATCTTAAAAAGGTCTATGGACTAAATTCATGATATCAAGTAATATATTCTGAGGGTGCTTTTGTGTTTTTTTGTGCAGGGTTTACGAAAGAGAGAACTATTGAAAGAGCTTCTTCCTGTTATTGGACAGAACCTCCGCTTCCAGAGGCTTTTCACAGAATATCAAGAGCAGCTAGACATCTTGAGAGACAAGTAGCATGTCCCCAGATTTTCCCTGCGGGGCTATTGAAAGAGCTTCTTCCTGTTATTGGACAGAACCTCCGCTTCCAGAGGCTTTTCACAGAATATCAAGAGCAGCTAGACATCTTGAGAGACAAGTAGCATGTCCCCAGATTTTCCCTGCGGGGCCTGGTCTGAGAGAAACTGCTGGACAGCATTAACCAGAGAGAGGAGAGAAGAGAAAGCCTGGTCAGCAGGGACACTCCTGAGGAGGGCAGTGCCAGAAGGGTCCCACATGCTTCAGAGTGACCTGCTCTAGTTTTTAAAGCTCACAAGTGGATTTCTGAAAATGAGTGGATGAGCTAGACCGTTTCCCAAGTGAAACTCAGCCATCGAAGCTGTGGCCTCTGGTTCTATGGGAAGTCGTGGATATGTACTTCAGGGGGGTCCATTTGGATCTGGATCTCATTTTGGTATCAAATCTAGCTGAGAACTGTTGTGAGGTTTCTTGGATGTCCTGTGAAAAGCACAGTGCTTCAGAGTACACTGAACAGCATATTTAACCCTGTTTAGGGTTTTTTGCCTGAGGATTTATTTAGGCTCAACACTATATTAAATTAGATGAATGAGCCACAAAATAAAATTTCATAAATATTAAGGTATTATGCAGCCAATAGACTCTTTCCTGTGAATATAATAATAATAAGAGGCTGTTCTAACACATGGACTATTTTTGTACTAGAATTTGCTAACTTGTAATATGGAATTTTATTTGGCCAATAATCAGGCTATCTAAAAAGTCAACTTGTAGGAAGTTTAACTCTAATACAAAAGTTATGTTTCAAAAATAATTCTACCAAATTAACCTGTCATCATTTGGTTTTTAATTTTTAAATGTTTGTAAAAGACATTTTGGGGGGAGGGGGAGGGATACAATGGGGTAACTCTTTTTGTAAGTACAAAAATAAATGAACATTGCATTGGTTTAAAAAACAAAAAGCAAAAACATGGTCTTGTATTATTACAAAGGGCACAGGCATTTCCACAAATGTCAACCCAGGCTGAATCATGTTATCATGTTTGGAAATAAATTCTACCATCTGGGTGATCTTTCCTCTGAATTATGATCAGACAAGTACTTGTGATTTCCCTACTTTTTTGCTTGGAGCCACATCTCAGCTGAGGGAGCAGGAGCTGTGTGGAAGTGCTGAATTATCTCTGGTAACATGAAGCAAAATGGGCTCCCCTGCTCCCTTGCCAAAAGTGGTCAGTGCTGCTACAGAAGTGAGCTCATGCAGCAATGTCCCTGTTTCTTGTGTGGCATTTCATAATAGCAAAATAGTGTGCTGGTCTGCTGCCAGCAGTTCACTTCTGAAGGGGTTTTGGAATTCCACTGAAACCAAATGAATCAACTTTTCTTCCCCAGAGTGTGCTTGGTGCTGGGAAGGAAGCAAGTGTATGTGTTGGTTCTTTCCAGGTCCTAACTACTCGGGTGTGCCTCAATTTACTGCCTTACTTGGAGATGTTTTTGAGTAAGAAAATTAGTCTTGAAATGAGTGAGTGTATGTAAACTTTTGTAAAAGGGCAGTTTCTCCCATAAGCTTCCACCAGAAACAAACAATATCCCTCACCCAGGAGGACTAGCTGTGCTACTGTGGGCTTTGGCTGAAGGGAACTGACCCTCTTCAGTGAGGCAGCTCTGCATCTACATGGGTGTTGGGATCCTAGTGGGAGGCATGTGTTCTTTAAGGCAACAAAACCCTCCAAATGTGGGATCCTGTATTCAACTGCCAGAGCTGCCAGACACCGGGCTACTTCTTTGTACAGCAAACTCATGTGCACATGGAATTGTCTTGAAGAGAAATAAAAACAACTGACTTAGCAGTGACTCTCCAGAATGGCATCAGAGGGTTTTCAACAAGCAAGGGGAAATGTAGTGGTGGCACAGCTTGACTCTGCTTGGTGGGGAGAACGAAGGTGATAAGGAGAGCTATCCAAGTTCCCCTGACCTCTAATCCAAAGTTTAATAGCACTGTGATGACCAGTTGTGGGGCTGTGAATGATTCATATGCTATTGGCAATCAGTGTAAGCTCATGGGAACAGCCATTGTGTTCCTCCTAGAGCCATAGAATGGTCAGAGTTGGATCTTTAAAGTTCATCTAATCCCACCCCCCTGCAGTGAGCAGGGATATCTGCAACCCCTTCAGTTTGTGCTCATGTGTGCAGGTCAGAAACCCACTGAAATTATTTAAATTGGACCCACACATCGGGCTCTGGGGAATGGGTGGGTCCAGCCCAAGGCCTGGTGCAGTCAGGGGGAGTCTGGCTATCAACTTCCATGGATTTTGACTCCCAGATGTGCTGTGTAGGCAGCTGCCACATTATTGGTTTAATGCAGAAAGAACCAACAAGCACAGATAGTTTTTGAAGGCTTTGGTAAGTGAAGGCTCTGAGGCAGGTGGCTGTTTCCTCCTGCCAAAAAGCAAGATGTTTGGGTTCCCTCTATCCTCTGTTCAGCCTTGTGCTGTTCATACCAGTCTTGTAATGAATGCAGTTTAACAGGATTTAGAGGTACTTAGCTAAGGGAAAGTAAGTTCTTCTTTGTCAGTGTTTGAAGAGATACTGAAATGCTTTCTCTGAAGAGTTATTTCTGCATTAGACACTACGTAGGGTTTTCTACCCATTTTGTCTTGGGAGGTTCTGTCACTGCCCAACAGACCATGAGTATTAAGATTTTAACTTCGATGCAACAAATAATTTTTTTTGTTAAATTGGGTATTTTAGCATTTTTCACTTACATTCAGCACCTTCTTTTCAGAGAAGGGCTATGAACACTCAGTTTAAGGCCACATTATCAAAATAAATTAGGGCTTCAGTGTGGGAGTGGAAGCAGCTTGTTCTGAATAACCAAGGAGCTTTTATTAATTAATGTTTGGACAGGGAAAAGGAGAAGGTCGCAGGGGGATCGTTCTCTCTAGGTGACCTGGGCAGAGAACCCCTGCCAAAACCGCCTCAGGGCCC